CCAAAATTGACAAGAAACTCAACAAATTAAATTTATTAAAAGCATCCGTACGAAAGGACCTAGCAATCAAACTATGCCATTTTGGTAGCAGATTCCAAGGTTATTTTGTCCATTCGAATTGCCACTTTCAGCAGATTTCAAATACCACTCAAATGCCTTCTTGTCATCCTTGGCTGTCCCTATGCCATTTTGGTAACAGATTCCAAGGTTATTTTGTCCATTCGAATTGCCACCTTCAGCAGATTTCAAATACCATTCAAATGTATTATTTTCATCCTTTTCAGTGTATATACCATTCTGATTACACCATCCAAAATTATCTTGTTCATGTAAATTTCCGTCCTCTGTAGATTTCAAGGATTCTATTTTATCTATAGCTGAATCAAAGGACATGTTGAATAATATATATTTAATGTGAATTTATTTATCAATCATATTATATTATTAGTTAATTTGCTAAGTACATTCGTACGAAGGTTTGAGAGAATTTGGATATGTACGTACGTACAGCATATATACTTACTGAAGTAGTTACATACGGACACATTGTGTTACATAATATAAGTTAATCCAATTAAATAATAGTAGATTTGAAATGCTATGTACATGCATATTGTCTTCAGTGTTAATAGTCTATTGTTCTATTGTAATTTTTTTTTATTTAATTATTTGAATTTAATAGCAAATTTATTTAATAATATATGTAGCAAAAATGTACTATTGTTCTATTCGCAAACCAAAGTATTATATTGGACAACACTGATTACCTTTTGCCAGTAAGATATTAAATATTCTTACGATTCCTAACTTATTTTTGAGCATTTATTACTATCTATTTTACGAGGAACTGATTTTTTTTTTAACAACTCAACATTATAGTACATTCTTTTTGCTTCAAATATTGATATTCTACTATGTAAAACTATTTTGTGTTGGAGCTAGATCGTTTGCTATATAAAATAGAGCAATGAAACGTTTTTCTCATTAAATTTTTTCTAAATTTGTAATTGTTTAAATAATATATATATGCATTCTGTATGTTTGATTAAAAAAAAACTAAAACATATCAAAACTTTTTAAATTTTTATATTACATCTAATTATAAATATATTTAAAAAAATTATAGTATTAAACCTTACTCTAATAATAAAAACTTTTAATATTTTGGATCTTTTCTAGGGAAATCAAGTCACAAAGCATAATACATTATTGACTTATGACTTGATTGTCCTAGCAAAGATCCCATTTTGTTTTTATTTATTTATTTAAAATCATAATAAATCAGATTAAAATAAATTTTAGGTTTTCATTTGAGCTCTCAAAACCATTTATACTCTTTTAATAATAACTTGACCAAAACTCTAAAAAGTCTAAAAATGCATTCCAAAAAAATTTACCATAATAGGGGTTTCAAAATTAAAATCAGAGTGTCTTATTTTGTTTTTCCAATTTATAATTCAACATAGTAAAAATGTCATTGAAAAAATCCTAATTATTTTCGAAATGCGTCACTTATTTGAGATCGTCTAAAGCCAGGTAGTAATTTATATGCTCCACGTGACTTTTACTTTACAATTAATTATTAATCAACCTGGCTTTAGACCCTTATGTGTTAATTTTGAAACCTCCTAATAAGGGTTTCAAAAAATTAAAATCCGAGAATCCTATTTTATTTTTCCGATTTATAATTCAACATAGTAAAAATGCTATTGTAAAAATCCTACTTATTTTTGAAATACGTCACTTATTTGTTAATTTGAATACCCCTAATGTGTAAATTTCTGATTTGTTAATTTGAGAATCCCTAATGTGTAAATTTCTGATTTGTTAATTTGAAAACCCCTAATGTGTAAATTTCTGATTTGTTAATTTGAAAACCCCTAATGTGTAAATTTCTGATTTAATATTAAAGTAAATCCAGCGGTTACCGACAATCGAGGGCGCAGTCACATGACTTCCGATCTTTATCTTTTATGACCGGAAAAAAATTAAGTTCGTTTATTTTAGGGTTAGGACGAACCCTGGGATTTTAGTAAGGTATATATATGCAAAATTTAGCAAGGAATGACGTTTGTTTTGAATTTTTCTGATCGCAAAATTGTGACGATCGTATCGGAAGATCATGTGAATGCGCCCTCGTTTGAACATTATATATTAGGGGTTTCAAAATTAACAAATAAGTGACGCATTTCGAACATAGGTAAGATTTTATCAATAGCCCTTTATTAGGATTTTATTTTTTATCGCTATAGCGATGTATCGCTGTCCTCCTGAGACTTAGTTGTCGCGCCGTGTAATGTCTGGGTTTCAATATTCAAACTTCGCTTGTGATTAGTAATATAGAGCACCTATAGATTACCTATCGATTACTAATCATGAGCGGTGTTTGGATATAGAAACTCCGACAACATATGAATGACAATTAAGTTTTGGGATTTTAATTTTCGGAATTTTATTTTCAGGATTGTGATTTGACTTAGAGCCGAGGTAGCGATACATCGCTATAGCAATAAATTATAAAGCGCTTTTTGCTATGTTGAATTATAAATCGGAAAATAAAATAGGATTCTCTGATTTTAATTTTGAAACCACCTATTACTGTATTATCGAATGAAAATAGGATCAACGACGCATTAACGAAATTAGATCGATTGCGTAAAAATAACATACCACATATTAGTAGAAATAGCATATTTAGTAAGGAGAAAAGGCTATATAAGTCACGTATTCCGTTCTTGCAAAAGGCCACAATAAAGTACATAGTTAAATACATACCCGGTCAAATAGTACGCCTACTTCGAGGGCTGCCTATTGTTACACAAAATTCTCAAGGTTATCCTACGAATGGGGATGTTAAAGATACAATTTTCTTTGTGCGCGACAATATATCTTTAAATAGTTTTAATTATTTTATAAACTACATTTTTATTGAAAAAGATGAATAGAATACGCAACCACGAATAAATAAATTCTATAAAATAATTTTGTAATCTAAATTCTGGATAATAATTGAATTCTGATTTATGATTTTCAAAATTAATTTCTGAATCATCTGAGTTATAATCTTTGGATTCAATTTCTAAAATACAGCGTTCGGGCATAATCTCTAAATTGTCTTCATGCACAATCCCTAAATTATCGTTTTTCGATATACATTCTAAATTACAGTCTTCAGACTCAATTCCTGAATTATGACCCACAAATACAATTTTTTGATTAAAAGCATCAAGCCCAAATTCAAAATTATTAACTTCAAGTGCGTTTTCTTGAATGTCTAGCATTACATCATTTGTTTGGGGAATACCAGATATAAAGTCTTGCGTGCCATTAAATGGAGAACTCCAAGATGAAAAATTATCTGCTCTAGTTTTATTTATCTGGGAAGACAAGGATGAAAGATAATCATCACAGCTAGCACTGGATTTGTTATTAGAAGTTAATAGAGGTGTGTTCCGACGAGAATTTTGTGATAAATTGTCTAAAGCATCATCAAAAGAATACGATCTTGAACAATGATTCGAATTATTATTCAGCGTATCATCTGAAAGCGGTTCGTACATAATGCCGCCGTCGAAAATAGTTTTCGAAGGAATATTTGTTTGCATAGTTTGATTGCTAGGTCCTTTCGTACGGATGCTTTTAATAAATTTAATTTGTTGAGTTTCTTGTCAATTTTGG